GCCCCCCGCTATGGACTATACCATTCAGAGATCTATGTAGGGCGGCGAATAGGGGAGGGGCCGCTATGCCCCTTGCTATGGACTATACCATTCAGAGATCTATTTAGGTCGGCAGAATAGGGGAGGGGCCGCTATGCCCCTTGCTATGGACTATACCATTCAGAGATCTATTTAGGGCGGCCGAATAGGGGAGGGGCCGCTATGCCCCCCCGCTATGGACTATACCATTCAGAGATCTATGTAGGGCGGCCGAATAGGGGAGGGGCCGCTATGCCCCCCGCTATGGACTATACCATTCAGAGATCTATTTAGGGCGGCCGAATAGGGGAGGGGCCGCTATGCCCCCCGCTATGGACTATACCATTCAGAGATCTATTTAGGGCGGCCGAATAGGGGAGGGGCCGCTATGCCCCCCGCTATGGACTATACCATTCAGAGATCTATTTAGGGCGGCCGAATAGGGGAGGGGCCGCTATGCCACCCGCTATGGACTATACCATTCACAGATACGGGAATAAAGATATTGATTGAACATTTGGGTTTACACATCAGCACATGAAAGAGGTTATTGAACAATGCGGATCGAAAAGAAATCAGTTTCGCCGATGAGGTCAGCAATTTCAAGAGGAGACGCTCGACTCATTATGTGATTCATCAAATCTATACCCCCCCAACACAACAACATTACGGGCATCAGCCAAACTATACCGGAAACACAACTGCAAGTAACTACAGGCAATCACGCTAGCCAAGTCAACCGTACGACAGAAAGGAAAATGGTCCACGGCTTGCCACCACTCTTAGGGCAACACGAGATGAAACGGAGAATACGATGATGGAGGATGCCAGAGTATCGATTAGAGTATAGTGCGATAGAAACGAGACATGACGAGCTAAGTGAAAATGGAAGAGAACGACAAATCTGGGTACGGATCACCACCGATTTCCGAAGCTAGCAATGACAATAATACAGCAGCATGACGCTACTACTAACTATTATCATTACGCGTCTGCCTCCTATGTGGTAACTTCCAGAGTGCTAACGCTACCACAGTTGCCGATAGCGCCACTATCCCCGCTATCAATGCTCCACGCTTCAGCCGTGCATTTGATGCTTTCTGAACAAGAATACAGCATCAAAAAGTTCACGAAGACCCGAAATGAGTTCGATCTAACCTGCCTATCCTGATCAGCATGAGCTTTCACTTGTTGTACTATCTGTTGAGCACTGTCTCTATTAGTGGTAGGGAACACAGCTCTGAACCCACACTCTTGCATGAGGAAACTTGCAGCGTGATCTGATATCATACCAAATCTACGTCACAGATGTAATTTCACTGACAGTACTCGCTCGTGTGCCATGGGCACAGTAGACTAGCACTGGACGATCCTTCCTGATCTCATCAAACCTCTGCGGCAACTCAGCGAGAGGGATATGAACTGCGCCATTCACTGGAGCTGAACGGAGCACCATCACTAATAATGAT